TATAAAGATATATATAATTATATTAAAAGCCCTAGGGGGAAAATAGAAAAAGAGTGGGTGAGAGAGGGACCTAGTGCTGGCCTATGTCAAGCATTCTGAGGTGCATACACCTCCAACCGCCCAATCAGACAATCTGGAAAAAAAACTGACAGCACGAACGCCACTGACATCGATTAGCCGCATTTTCTTGCAACGTCTCCAGCCAGGCACAGAGGGGGTCACGAGGACCCCGTGATCTCTTTCACGCAACACAGCATTATAGTCCACAACGGTGTTGTTCATCAGTTGCAACCTGTTTAACGACTTTCTCCTGGAAGAGGAATCAAATCGCCCATTTTCTCATCGTCGTTCCCCTTTTAGGGATTACCATACTCTGTAGTTCTTGTACTCGCTATCTTCTCGATTCAAGCCCATGTTTGATTCCTTTTTGACACCTCATTCTTCCACAGCTCTTCCAGCGAACCACCTTGGCTCGTGAAGCTTCCCGAGAAACATTGCGCGAGCTCATTCAAGCCTTGCTGCAGGTGATGATTGATGAACGCACCACAGAAATCCCGGACGGCGAGAATGTTATCCGAGCGATCAACTCCCTGTGCATCCGCATTATCGACGCAGCAAACGGAACAAGGGTTCTCAGGTGCGTATTGTTCATACATCCAGTTCTGCCGATGTGAATAAAGAACTCGTTCATTATCTCATCACTTCCCATCTGTCTGTATCCTCTGTAGTGCCTTCATCCGCTTGTTGCATGAGTCGGTGAGCAACGGGAATTTCACCAACCGGTTCACACAATCCGTCATGAAAACCCTGTGGAGAATTACCAAAGGGATGGAGTCAGCTGGTAAGTGGCCTCAGATCTTCCTGCGTTACAAGTAGGAAGAAAGTGGTCTGTCTACAGTTTTTAACCCCGTGATCATTTTTTGGTCCCTGGAAAGAGGACATTTTCGAAAAGTTCTTTAGGATAGATGATCTTGTCGAGACACAGCGCACTCCTAACAGTCCTCCAGATTTTCTGTTCTTTTCAAGAAGTCGTATGGAAATACTTTCGTAAAGGTATCATTATCATCTTCATTATCGATGTTCAATCCTAATACTTCCCTATAGTACAACCACTAACCCACCGCTGCGTACCACTACGCTCCCCAATAACGCACTGATGATGACACCTCGATTGGTGATTAAACGTCTGCAATCCAATTGCCCAGCTCAGCGAACAAGCTAACGACCACAAATATCGTGGTTATGCGCGAGTTAGGATAATGACAGGTCACCCAAACCTAGCAAGTGGTCGATTTATAGTCTCCAACCGAACACTTTTGCTCAAGAGTTTGAACGAAAGGCATCGGCGTTTGGCAAAAAACACCAGGGCATTGCAGTTCTTAAACGAACAGTCGCCATACATATTCCACCTCTCAAGTTGGAGGCCCATGATGTTGTTGGTCGGGCCTCTAACCACTTACTAGAGACTGTGTATCGCACGAATAGCCCCTATTAATGGTTCAGTGGGTTACGGGAATGCTTCAACTCTCACGCCACGTAAATTGTAAGAGAATATTGGTCTTGTGGGCACTCACATGCATTGAAAATAGGCAGGCGGCGCGAACAGTAGAGGCATTGATCCGATTTGAAAATGAAGAATCCCGACTAGAGTTCCATGTTTGGCTCTAATCTAACTCTGAATCGACAGTCTCACCTTCTCGGCGCTTGCTGCGCCCAATCGAACGCACAGCTGACCGATTGGAGAAGCCATATTTGAAGGTATCTCCGACTTTGAACTGGAAGTTTTCACTTGGTTTTCAAATTCAGCAGATGATACCTACCAGTTTTCGTGTTTTACTGACATGCGTCCAGCCGTTCACTTCTTGTTTATCCAACAGTCTATGATCAGTGTTTAGCAGTGGTGCTTCGCTGCGGTACTACCATAATTTCTTTAAAACCCTTATTGTAAAGTAAAGAACAAAAGTGAATGGAACAGGGACTTAATGCTAGCCTACCGCAATCATTCCAAGATACCAAGACCTCCATGCACTCATTCAAGCAATCCGTGTGGCTACTGGTTACAAGAGCCCCATTGAGATCGAATAACACTCATATCTTGCAGCATCTCCAGCTACGCATAGTGGGGACTAAGAATGAATAGCTACGCCTCGGAGACAGTGGCAGATACACATAAGTAAAAATTATAAAATTGGCTTTGGTTTTAAGTATAGAATGTATATTTATCAGAATCAAATCGGGCGGCTATCGTGAATCCTCTCGGTGGACAGTTGCTGGGACACCCGGTGGACACAGAAGCCGAGCAACTTCTACGTTGTCCAGTCAAAAAAACAATGATTGACTTCGAACTGCAGTTTTCTGCACCAGAAGTCCGCATTCTGAGCTTTCTGCAGCTCAGAATAGACGCAGACCTTTGGTGAGACACTGATCATTTCCAGGAGACTAGTGGCACATGTTACTTCCGAACGCCTTCTGGTCTCGTTATTTCCCGCATGTGGCTTCCTTTTAACTCCCCTTAACTGTCCATGATTTTGTCCCCCGCCGTCAGAGAACAATTATTCTTTCGATGTCATCCTGCTGGATTGTCACCACTTCCTCAAAGCGTTTCCATCCGCCTCGTGGAAAACAAGAAAATCCGACGTCCCAATTCGTACAATCAAGACCTTGTTACATGTGATGTGTCGGATGCAGGGACCTTCGATTTTAGACCTTTTGGAAACGATCCCCAACAAGGTTAGCAATGTGATCGCTCGTTTTGTGTTCGCGATTTTTTGTATTTTCCCTTGTCTCAGGTGTTTCAAGTTGTTTCGGTTTCAGTAGACTTCCGTTTGAATGCCGTGACTTCCTTAAACGCTTTCCTACTGCTCTCTGCTTCTGTTCAACAGGAAGACTCCGAACTGGAAGCCTATTTGAACCGCACGCTGAAAACGATTGGAAGCAGTGGCCCTTCCGCAACAGTTTCTTCTTCTGATCGGCCGTCAGTCAACTCGGATACACGGAACAAGGTGTGTCATCTTTAAGAAAGCTCCCAACTATGTTTAACATCTTTAATTGATTGAAAAACCGGTTACAATTCATCCTAAACGGCAAACGATAATCGTCGACAAAGCTTTCAGGATTGTA